ATATCATCAAGTTATTTTCATCAAATGGAACATACTTTCTGAAAACTATAATGGGTATAGTTATCAAGTTATTCATACATTCTTACGTATAAATCTTGAAAAACGAAATACTTTCAAACAAAATGAAGTAAAGTCTTTCTTATCGTAAATCTATTTATACTAAGAAATGTGAGCTATTCAAACTTCAACGTACTCTTCTGTATTCATTTCAAGCCTTGTATTATATACCATAATCTCTTGGAGGGACAGCGTGATACCTATGTATAGATCTATACGGGATTGACAACCCCGCACCTAAACTGTTAGCTACAGTTAGACCGGCAGGTCTCGGGTGACAAATGTCATAACACTACAACACCTGAAGAATATTGTTGCAGGCAGTCAGTGTCAATAGTATGGTTATAAAACTCACATGAAAGTATAAAAACAAGTTTGATTTACGAGATTCATATATGCATTCAGTTTTCTACATTATTTTGAGCACAAAGTTTATCTTTATCATTCAAGTACGAAAAACACTAATGCACTCCAACTTTGAGAACTTATCAAACTATTTACAGGAAATATTGGATTTTTTGAAAACCTCGTTCATTGATTTGCTACTAAAAGGGACATACTTTTCAATACAAAACACTTATGAAATCACCAACTTAATTGTTGACACTTTTTTTGAAACCACTTGTATTTCTCAGGGAATCAGTAATACAGGTAACCACCAGATTTTGAAGAAGAAACGCTAAGGACATTTATTATTAAACATTTACATCATCATATTGTAATATTCTTTTGGAAATATGTATAACGCAACAATATACATTTTTATTATATATATGATGGTTGTGTTAGTTTCCTTACAATATTCAATTGTTGTGATACTACATCAAGTCATCCACCCGCGAATGTTTCCGCCATTCTGGTTTGGGGGTGTGACACTTAGTATGTTCTTTCTGTTATCATGTATTGTGTATAGTATGTCTCTATGATGTATTGTATCTACCTCCTTGATTCTCTTTATAGTATGCTCCAGTATCTAGTATGAACTGAACCTATAAACTATACCCCTTATAGTTTACTAGTGCTTTACTTGAACTGTTATTGAAAAGTCTCATTTTACAACTAATTTATGCTTGTACTTTAAAAATGGAGTTTTGTTAAGGTTCTTTCTTGTTTAGGTTTGGTGAGTTCTGCTATGGTTGGTTTAGGTCGCCTTGGAAAGGTTGTGATATTCTCAGGATTGTGGTTGTGTTGCTTAGAGTGTTGGCGTATTAGGAAAGGTAAGGGTTGATTTCGAGGATGAAATCTAATTTAATTGGGGGAAGAGTTGTAACTCCCTGTTTGTAATCGTTACCCATTTGGGTGTGGGTGATGAAATGTAGATGGTTTAAGCGTTCGAAATTGGTTTTGGTGCTAAGGGGTATTTTGGTAAATTTGCAGGGGCCTTTATGGAATTTGGATATTGTGTGGGGAAATTTAAATCAAGTATGAGTTAATAATAGTGTTGAGCTTCCCGATACCTCTTCATGGATATAAGGATGGTCGGAATCAGAGTTGTATCGAGAAAGTTATGGCCTTCGAAATGAATTATGGTTTAAGGGTAAACCCAAGTACGTGGAGCATCTTGTGCGAAGGGGGGTCTACACCTTTCATAAGGGAGTGTACGCTTAGTGTACTTCAGGGATGGGATCGGGGTGCAACACCTTTCATAAGGGAGTGTAAGTCAGCCTTTACACTCTAAAAACCCTAAATCAACCTTGTAGCCTCTTGGAGGTGTTCTTGTGCTATTAGGAGGCTTTGATGTTCATTTTGCCCTTGGTAAGGAAAGAAGAGAAGCTTGAAGTTATTTTGCTTGGTGGGAAAGTTTTGGATCCAGAATCATCATCTTGTGGGGAAGCTTTTTGAAGTATCAAGTTTGCATCTTGGCTTATGTATGATTAGATCTCCTCCTGGCTAGTTTGTTATGATTTTGGTCTTCTTCTTGAGATTAATGATGATTTAGGTTATTTAAGGGTTCATCCTTGCAGATCTGAGTTTGTTTTGGTATTCTTGAGCATAAAGGTACAAGCTTTATGTGTAGTATGGGGTCATGCATGCATTAAGTCAACCATTAAGTCCTTTTTAAGCTTAAGAGCTTCTTTTAGCCATGTATGAACATAAAGTTGGCAACTTTACGTGGTATTCCAACTCAAGGAGGTTAGATCTGTGTTTTGGAAGAATTGTCTTAATAGATTAAGTGAAAATCGAATTTGGGCTGACTAAGGGTGAGTATGTTGGGCGTACAAGTAGGTACATGTAGCGTACAAGCCTCCAAGCGAGTACGCTGCATGTACGTGCATGTACTCCATGCGTACTCGGTCTGAATGAGCTTTGTGTGTTTGGGCTTCGATTTGGGCTATCGTTTAGGCTTTGATTGCTTAGGGCTTTATTGGGCCATCTATAAACAAGTGTTTGGACTGGGAAATATTAATGGGCTTTAGGCTAAGGCCTAAGTAAGGGTTTGGGCCCAATTTAGAAAATTGGGCCATAAGTGGGCTTTAGATGATTATTGGTTTATGGGCCTTTATGATGGAGAGTTTGGGCCTTTATCTTAAACCAAACTAGGTGAAGGGTAAAATGGTCTTTTTACCCTATATTTGGATTATTGTATTTGGTTTGGAACCCAATTGTTAATGGGTGTTATTTGTTTGTTAGCGCAAAGATTCTAGGAAATCAGCAGTTAGAGATTTATTTGTGGGTTCAGCTGTCGAGGTGAGTCTCATCATTGGGTGTAGCGGGTTGAAGGCACCAATGTTGGCCCATGATTTATATGTTAGTATGCTAGATGTCCGAGTTACTCTTGCATGTGTTGTATAATAGTATGCTTACCAGGCAAGGCCTAATGTTAGGCAGGGCCTCATGAGTAAATTGTATGCTAGTTATTAGTATCTGATTTTAAGCTTACCGAGCCAGGCTCGATGCCGGGATGGGGCCCAATGACTGTATAGTTTGCTATAGTCTTTGTGATTATTGCATGTGCTAGTATGGTTATATGTTTATATGATTATATGATTATATGTTTATATATGTACCGGGCGGGGTTCAATGTCGGGCGAGGACCGATGACTCGAACATATGCTAGTGTTTATGATTATTTTATGTGTTAGCATGATTATGTGATATATTGTATGTGTATAGTGGGCGAGGCCCAGTAACAGGCGATGCCTAAGAATAACAAACATATAACATGAGCGGGGCTTGATGTCGAGCGGGGCCCGAGGCCGAGTGGGACTCGAGTCCGGGCGAGGCCTGATGAAGGGCGGGGGCCCATTATGTGATTTATGTCTGTATGGTATGTGATATCTTGGGGAATAAACTAAGCTTTGTGGTTATGGTTTTCAGGTTATGTTTCAGGTATTTTGGTTTTCAAATGAAAGAGTTCGGGATGGTTGTTGGGCACACATCACATGTTTCCACATTCTGTGATTTTCTCTGATTTGATGATGTTTTATTAAAATTTGATAACCATGGTTTTATGGAAATGATATGTATTAACGATTTATTAATTTAAATAAAAAATTTTATGTCGCTATTTTTGGGACGTTACGAATTTAAAACTTTTAAATGGTATAAAATAAAAGAAAAGCTAAATGATAAATGATAAATGATAAGATTTTAGAAAAGTTCTTAAGAAAAAGCTAGTTAAATAACTTTTGGGTTAGACATTCTTGATTTTTTTTATATATAATTAAGGGAAAACGCTTACCAAGGTAATCATCTTTTTCGCTTTATTCATATTTAGGTAACTTTTTATTTTTTATACACATTTGACCATTTAACTTGTTATATTTGTTCACATATTGTCATTCTCATCGGCTATAGCAGGTGACGATAGTAATATGTGAACAAATTAACAAGTTTAATAGTTAAATGTGTACAAAAAAAAAAAATATAGTTACCTAAATGTGAACAAAACGAAAACTTAATTACCCTAATAAGTCATTTTTCCCCGTTTTTAATAACGATTTTATTATTCAGATTTGTTTGTATTATTGTTTTTCAAAAATTATTTTAAAAATATCCATAATTTCCTAAATATGAATAAATATTGATCAATTTTAAACTTTACTTTTTAATTAATAAACAAGTTTTTGTTTTGTGAAATATTTTATATAGCCTCTTGTATTTTTTTTTCTTTTGTTTTTAAGCATATACAATATTTTTAAAGTAAATAGTATCTAACAATAAAACTAAATAAATTAAATATGTAACAATAAGTATTGAGAGTCTTTAAAAAAATAAAAACAAAATATTACTTAGCAAATAAAAAAAATCTATATAATGTAAATGTTTTAAAATTATTCCAGCTTTTTGATAAACTTTTAATTTTTTTGATATATCGTTTTAAACTAGTATTTAACGAAAATATTTTAGAATCTTATAAAAAAAATATTAAATTGTCATACAAAATCTATAAAACACTTTAAAAATATTGTAAAAGAAAGTTTAGAAATAAAAAGTTATAAAAAAAATTGTATGAAAATGTAAAAAAAAATAATAAAAAAATAAAAAAAAATAAAAAAGTTATAAATTTGTAAGAAAATTTTAATATATTTGGTTTGAAAGCACTTGTATTATAACTATATGAAAGTATAAAAAAAGTTTAAAAGAAATTTATAAAAAAAGTTTAAAATATTGTATTACAGAAACCTATAAAAAATCATAAAAATGTTATAAGAAATTATTAAAAAAAAATCATAAATGGTCCCTGTGGTTTTTCTAAATCTGAACTTTAGTCACCGTGGTTTAAAAACCTCATAGATGGTCCCTGTGCTTTCAAAACTTTTGACGATTGGTCATTATTGCTAACTCCGTTAAATTTTATCCGTTAACTGAAGGGCATTTTCGTCATTTAACTACAATAAAGACCATTTATGATGCTTTCTCTTAATTTTTTTTTATAAAGAAAAAATTAAATATAATTATTTAATATATAAAAGCTCTCTCTCTCTCTCTCTCTCTCTCTCTCAAAACCTGATGATGAGGACCTTGTGCCCAAACGTAGACAATGAAGATGCTCTTCCGATACCGGAGGAAACCTTTGATGATAACAAGATCAACCACAAGACCACCTCTTGGAAAACCTTGAAATTGTGGATGAACCTCATTCCACCAATCCAAGATGCCAATTTTCTGAGTACAGTGGTCGGAACACTGACATTCATCTCTTGCTCGGCGTCGTTAGAGCTCCCTTCGTCCCTCTTCCGGCTACCCCAACATTATTGTCACACCCCAAACCCGAGAATGGCGGAAACGTTCTAGGGCGGATGACGTCATGTAAAGTATCACAACATAGTAAAAGTAAACAAGCAAACAACATTATCCATTGCATTAAATATATAATTTTAATACAAGCGTGTTCTTTACAGTTATAGACACCAAAAATAATGTGAATCAAAATAATAAGATGAGTCTTGGATGCGCTCCATCTTCTCAAAAGCTGGCCTCGGTACCTGTCTACTGATGACCTGAGAATACAAGTTATTTTGAAAGAGTTTATCAGCATTAAGCTGGTGAGTTCATAAGTATTTTAGTGTCAGTGTTTGTATCAAAACGGCTGAACATCGTTTTAATCATGAGTTTATAAGCATTGGTGGTAAAAGTATGTAAATGTTTGTACATGGTTGTAAAAGTTGGAATCTCTTAGAGAAACCTATATTTTCTATTTAAAAGTAGCCTTTTACCAAGGCGTAACTGTTTTGTACGTTTTTTTATCGTAAAAGTGTGTAATTTTCCCAAGTGTAACTATCATTAACCAAATATAGTTTGTACATTTATGTTTAAGTGAAATGATCACTACATGTATATAATGGATAAATTATTGTAGTATTGTAGTGTTGTATTATAGGAACTACTGTTGTACTAACTACCTTAAACCGGATTTATATTAAGGTATCATGTGATTAATTGCACCATACTATTAACTGACAACAACGACATACGAATGGTCGTAAAATGGAATGACGTTTGGCACCCGCAGACCTGAAGGTCCGGCTGTAGCTAGCAGCAAGGTGTAGGATAGTCAATCCAGTATAGATCTATACACAAACTCATGCTCTCCCTCCAAGAGAATTCTGGCTACAACTCGGGCCATGACATTTAAGGCATGCTCCGATACAGTGGATCACAATTGTTAACATATTCATGTATATGTAATGTAATGTTACTTGTTCTAGTATCGGTGTATATGTTCTCTTCCTAGTATAGTTGTATATGTTCTTCTCTAGTATAATTGTATATGTTCTTCTCTAGTATAGTTGTATATGTTCTCATAGTAGTAAGTACTGACTCATGAATGAACTGACTCATTGATCTAGAAATTGTAGTAGTATGATCTTGTGTTACCCCGATGGTAACCTACTAATGATGTAACTAATACGCATGAACATGGAAGTACTTTTATGTCTATATATGTGCACTTGATATATAATTGATATTGAAACGACCTTCGAACGGCTACCCGAAATCCCACCAGACCACATCCAAATCGAGAAAAAGGAAATAGGGCGGATGGCCTTCCTAAGCCCTTTAAACATTGCTTATATAGCTATACATATATGGGCATGCAATTTATAAGAAGTATAACAAAGTTTAAATAAAATTATTTGATAAGTAAAAGAGTTTGTAAAGCAGTTGAAGTAAAACAGTTTGATAAACAGTTTAAACAGTAATAAAATCATTAGTTTTATAGTTATTAATCACATGTGATTGATGTAATAACTATAAGTATTTAACTTGTATCCCCCCTCCCCCATAAAAGCATTTAAAACATTTAAAAGTATTTCAAAGGTTAATTAAAGGGGTATGAACTCACCTGTGGTGAGTGGATTGGATTGGAGTGTCGGATACTGTTTTAGGTGGCAACCGGAGACTTGTTGTAACACCCCTCTCTGGAACGTATCACAATATTGTCCGCTTTGGGCCACTCGGCACGAGGACTTCCCAGGGGGTCACCCATCCCGGTACTACTTCCGCCCGAGCACGCTTAACTGCAGAGTTCTTATGGGATCTGCTGCCCTCACGGCTTTAAAATGCGTTGTGTTAGGGAAGGTATCCACACCCCTTATAAGGAATGCTTAGTTCTCCTTCCCAGTCGATGTGGGATCAGATCTAACCCACTTTTACTTGAAACGACCCAAAAATCACGACCAAAAAAATTTCTTTAAAAGCATTACTAGAATCATATTTATAAAAACTGTATCATAAGTCATAACATAAATTCTCGAGTATTAATTCAAAACATAATATCATTATCAGAGTCAAACATTCCCAGGCTAACTGACTATGGTGTGCACTGCAATCTCCCCGAGCTCCTCTTTTGAAAACTGAGTACCTGAAACCAAAACTGAAAACCGTAACCACGAAGCTTAGTGAGCTCCCCCAATCTAACACATACCATACAACAACATATAAAGCACATACTGGGCCTTGCCCACTGCATCGGACTAATGTCCGGACTAACTGGGGCCTTGCCCCCTACATCGGACCGAAGTCCGGACTAACTAGGGCCTTGACCCCTGCATCGGACCGAAGTCCGGAAACTGACTGGGACCTTGTCCCCTGCATCAGACCGAAGTCCGGGCTAACTGGGGCCTTGCCCCCTGCATCGGACCGAAGTCCGGAAACTGACTGAACATAGCATAGCATAACATATCAACTAGCTTGAACACATATACTGCATACTACATCGGGCCGTAGCCCGGAACACATAACACATAACACATAAAACATAGCACATAAATCCTGTCTGAGCCACGAAGGCATCAAACATACTAACTACTGCATCGGACCGAAGTCCGGAAACTACTGCTAACTGAACGGGCCGGCATTGTGGCCTTAGACCCGTCCCTACTGGAAGGAAACTCACCTGAGACTGCTGAACTGATGTTGCTAATCCTCTTGACTGCTACTTGACCTCTGACTCCGAACTGCTGCTCCACTAACTCTTCGAGCTCAAAAGCCAATAAAACACTTAGTCCAACTGACCTCCAAAGGTCACTAGGTCAACTCTGGTCAAGGTCAAAATCCTAGTCAATGTCAACCTTCCAGGTCAACCCTACTCGCCGAGTTTACCTACTGACTCGCCGAGTTCCTACGCTCAGGGTCTTTCTTATTCGCGACTCGACTCACCGAGTCAGTCTATGACTCGCCGAGTCCAACTAGTTCCAAGTCTGTCCTGTCCAACTCGCTGAGTCACCACCCGACTCACTGATTCGAGTCTCAACTCGAAGGGTTTAGGGTTTCGCGATCTGACTCGCCGAGTCCAAGAACAGACTCGCCGAGTCCTAGACAATCTTCAACCAACTCGTCGAGTTGTTCATCCAACTCGCCGAGGCCATGCCTAACTTCATCCGACTCGACGAGCTGCTCATCCTACTCGTCGAGTTCCTCCTCATCTTCAAGCTACTCGCCGAGTCCACTCGAAGGACTCGCCGAGTCTATCTTAGTCCTCAATCCATGCAGTGGCTTTTCGAGCCAAACAAAACTTCCAACTCATAGATCCATACTTCTAGGGACTATTCCCCACGTAAAGTGGCAAACTTTACGTGTAGATTGAGAGATCTATGCTCAAAACATACTAAATTAGGGTTTATGGCAACCATGCTTCTTCAACATACCAAGGGCTGATACTTTAGGGGATTCAAGACCAAAACCAACATGGATCTGAGGTAGCAACCTCAGATCTGAACCTCCAACTCGAATTGGTTACATAACAAACCAACAATGACCAAAACTCACACATAAGAATAGATCTAGATGCAAAGGGAGTCCAAGCAACAGCTTATTACCTCCAATTGTTCTGAAATGACTCCACAATCCAGATCTACAGTCCCTTCTTGCACCTCCAAGGTCTTTCTTCCTCCTCCAAGCTTTAGTGCATTCTTCAAGGCAAGATCTAGCTCAAAAACGGATATGGCGGCTAGGGTTTGGTGTTCTGGGGTAGAGAGGCAGTAAAGGAACCCTAGGAAGGAGAATGAGACGCTTATATACGCTCCAAGTCCCGAATTTAGGGTTTTCCTCGATCAGACCCAACTCGTCGAGTCTCCTTGGCCGACTCGCCGAGTCGGTCGCTTACCACGACCCGGATCCCGCTCGGACTCGCCGAGTCCCTCCATGGACTCGCCGAGTCTCTCCTTAAAATTGAGGTCTTCTTTCTTTTCTTGACTTTCCAAACTTTGGGGTGTTACAAATCTCCCCCACTTAAATTAAACTTCGTCCTCGAAGTTTGCTATGATCAACTGCCTGTGAACTGCCTCCAACTCTCTATCTGGGAAATCTAACACCCTTTTGTCCAAAACTCCAGCCACTCACCATGCCGATCATTACCGTTGGTATATACTGAATCCTTCTCCTTTCCATAATTTTCCTAGCGTTACTTCCTCTGACTGGCAATTCTTACCCCTCATCCGCCTACTGGATGCACTGAGACCACTTTGGTCAACTAATCTACCGATATCCGAGTTACCGGACTCCCACCGGTCACTATACTCCATCGCAATCTCCTAGTCGCTTCCAGCGACTCCTGAAAATACTTCGACTATCTATAACTGTTCTATCCATTTTCCGCTCATACTGAAACGATGTTGCTGGAAATAGCTTGCTTATATCCCATCTGATTACTCAACTCCTACTAACTCGAGCCTTCCATCCTGAAAGAAAAGCTACCTGCCTAGCTATCTTTACATATCACTATACTCGGCCGAAGGCTCAGCTGATCCTACTGAAGAGACTTGCCATTTCCAAATCAACCAACTATACCGTCAACACTTGCATTCCAACGCAAATACAATACTGACCCAAAACCCTGAAACCTTCCAAACACTGAATTGCCTGCAATACTGAACCTGCCTGAAACACTAAACTGCCTGAAACGCTGATCTGGCTGAAACACTGAGCTGCCTGAAACACTGAACTGGCTGAAACACTGAACTGGCTGAAACACTGAGCTGCCTGAAACACTAAACTGGCTGAAACACTAAACTCAAACCCAACTGTGGAGTCAAGGGACCCGCACTTAGTCGCTTCCACGACTTCTGAATGAAATCTCCTCTAGGACTAGTTTCCACTAGTTATCCTGTCACTGTGGCTCTAACAACCTTCCGATCCAACCGATCGGGTCCATACATCACATCCTGACATCATCCATTCCATGTCTATCAACATGATGGTTCCCAGACTGACGGTAGCCCTTAACATACCCGAACCCCAACGGTCCACTGCTACTCTGATCTCATAACTGATGTGACGATCTATAGCCCAAATTGCTGACTTAGCCATAACTGAACCATTTGGGAAATCCGAAATCTAACCCGTGGATTCCCATATTCCCACTGCTGCACCCGAACGGGTGGGAATTACTACGTTCCCGCGTTCAACAACGCGCTCATGCTGCTACCAATCTGATAAAAGGCTGCGACTACGCTCGCGGACTTACAACTCTCTAGTACTATCTGGCTACTAGTGAATGCTACAGCTACCCCCGCAGACTTACAACACCACTTACTACTATCTGACTGCTAGTGAATGCTACGGCTACCCCCGCAGACTTACAACACTACTACTACTATCTATCCCGAGGACATCCTGACTATCCCTAGTCCCGCTAGTGATTCCTCATCCGGATTTCTCAAACCAGCCCTCAGTCTTTGAATTCTGCATCATCCTCGACAGCTTATATCCTTGATATACTTAGCGCTTCGTCGAGGAATTCTCCAGCTTGGTTCCCAAACCAACCGTCTACTAATCCGGATACAAGAAGCTATTGTTGGGACGTTTCCAACCTCCCAACTCCTGAATCCACATAATCCTGCATGCTGGCTCTGCCACTGGCTACTAATACGAAGACATCTCCTGCTAACCGTTTTCTCCGGATCCTCATTCCGACTCACTTGAGCCTTTACAGGTGGTCCTCAAATCCTGGATTCCCAACCAGCTTCTAACCATCTCCATTACATGAACCCACTGCTGGGAAAAGTTCTCGAACTCCCAATTCTGAACTTCTCAATCCATCCATCACTGTGCTACTACCACTTCTTCTCAGAGGCCGCGCACTCATTCTGAGTGACTCTTATCCATGTATACCCGGAGGGTTCTCCCCCACTTCGATCTTGCTTACCCCTTGCTGCTTCACATTCAAAAGAGATCCCGACCTTTACTACCATTCCAAAACTTCTACTGGGGAACCCAAGCCCGCCTGGTAGGAATTTGACCATTCCATCCAAACCACTATCCACTCCGAACTAGCGAAACGAACCAAATCTCTCCCTACCATGCTACAGTTACTGCATCCTCCGAAACTTCTCCATATGAGCACATCCCCTAACTACCAACCAATTATTCGAGGTATGCAAATGGCATATGACATAATCACAAGCAAGCCACTCCATAACACAACACTTATACCACAATTGATGTAGAAACCATAACAATATAATCATAACATAAGCTGACAAAAACAAAGTTACATACCTCCATTACTCAGTGCTGCTCGAATCCCTGCTGAAATCTACCGGAGAAACTCGGCTCCGAGCCGTAGGCACCCTTGCCCGGCCTTGACAACCACTGACGGTACTTGAAGTTCCAAGGGCAGGAGCTGGCGCCTGCCCTGCTGAATACAAACTCGGACAGTGGGCCTTCTTGTGGCCCCTCTGACTGCAATGGAAACACAACGGATCAAGTCCCTGGGCGATGGTAACAACACAGTCTCTGCTAAAATGACCAATCTGGCCGCACTTGAAACACCCAGCATCGCCACCACTTCTACGCCTACACACACCCATGTGCGTCCTTCCGTACTTCTCGCATCCACTGCGGCTCTGATAGTTCCTCGTCCTCAAATCTGAACTCTTGGGCCTCTTACTCGAACCTGTGGCAACCTGAGTCTCATCCATTTTCCTCTTCCCTTCCGACTCCCTGCCCGACTCTCGCTCCTGCGTTACCCCAACGGCAACGTCTGCTGACTGAACAACAAATGTCTGATCCTGAAGCCTCGCTATCAATCTATCAGTGATCCTCACGACCATGTCTGGCAGACCCTCGCGAATGGCTCACGAAACTTCCTCAACTATCCAATCATGCAATGGTTTCTCTTGGAGACAGAATGCCCCACACGCCCCTGCCCCCTGATAGCAGAAACTAGAAATGGGATCTCCCTCCCTGATGGATCCCTGAACTTCATAAGATTCGGGACCTAGACGAGCCCCAATCTGTCCTGAAACTAACCCGGCCCTAAAGGCCTCAAGATGACTGTCCATGAGCTCCACAATAGCCTCTCTAACTGAACCGAAAATCACTGGAGTCTGATCGATGATGTTGCGCATAATCTCTGCGGAAATGAAATCCCTCATCTGATCATCAAGCTGCCCGGCTCTAAAGCCCGAGCCAGACCCCTCCCCTGCACCTGAACTGCCAACTGATATCTCGCGCAACGTCACCATGCTGAAAATATAACAATCCCTGATCAATTACATACTACTGCTGAGGGATCTCTCACATAGTGTACTAGTTCCTTGGTTTCGCCTCGGCCCCTCTTGAATCGAGTATTGATCCTCTTCTTTCAGTAGTATGGGCCCCTACTACCTTCCACATCTATCAGTACTTTCCTCAAGAGTTACCTCAACTCCACCAAGTCCCCTTTACTCTTCTAC